ATTGCGAAACTAAATAACGTGTCTTGTGTTTGTTAACAAAACACGGGCACTAAAAAGCATTGAATGTCACTGGCGTGTAAACATGAAATGTCATAAAATTTAATTGGTATAATTAATGAATTATGTATCCTCTTTCTTTTGAACTTTCTATGTGCGTAAATCATTCGGTTGGTTCTTAACACTCAGAGAAACACCAACATTTAAAATTAAAATTTTGAAAGACCTGGAATTAAACTTAAGCGCTAAATTAATTTATTAAATTAAGCAACTTATATAATGATCGAACTTCAATTCGAGAAGTTCGTTTAATCTTACAAGTCTTACATTCCTCGTCATTCATTAAATCAAATTTATTCATTCAAGCCATTATATTGTGACATTGAAAAATAACCCTAAAGTTTTCTGATATCTCAAATAGACTAAAGGTTGTTTTAAGGCAACCTTTAAAAATAACAACCCAACAAATGGGATCTAGGTAAAATAAAGAAAAACTTAAATTCCATCGATTTGTAACCTAATAAAACAAATAGTCATAATCACGTCCTTAAGTGCACTCGTGAATGAATGTTGCGTCATCAGCACGTAGACACGAATGTGTTATCTAATCTATACTCAATATTATAAAAGGAAATATATGGTTGTTTACATCGAAAAGGCTTCGTAACTACTGGATAGATTTAAAAAAAAATTCACCTCAGGAAAGCTTCTTCAGATATGCGGGTGATATTTATGCAGTCAAAATCGGAGGTAGTTATTATATAATATAATTATTTCTATAATAAAGAATGGATGAACACCGAGCTCAATGGAGTAATGGCTATCGCAATCGATCTTGGAGGCAATATGGAGGTTAAGCAACTACCAGAAGAGCCGGTTATAGGATGGACGGTCAATCATTATTATTTCAAACTCCTCCAGGCTGCATCTACAGTCACTTACATCCCCCAATCCGCACTGGGCAGGCATTGTGGATAATAGCACATTCTCTCTATTTAATTCAATTCCATAGTGAAAGCCTGTGCAGTAGAGACGTTTATGGGTGGATGATAATGAAAGTCTTTTCAGTTAATAATATCAGAGAAAAAGATTGCAAAAAAGCTTTACTACTTTGGTTGAACGAATGAGTAAAGCACAATCTAGCTAGATCAATATAAAGCTGGACCTTAAATTATAATAAAAATAGTCAACGTTATTCAAATGTTCACATTTTTCACAGATGTTTGATTTTTATACGATATATTACAGATAGATATGTTAATCAGAAGCCTATATTAAATTTATTATTTTTTGCTGTTCTTCATGTCTTACAAATAATCCAAAGAGTCTGAAAATGTAATAATATTAGCTATATAATGATACACATGATAAAAGCCGTTTAATTTCCCATAAGATCATCAAAATAACATTAACAATGACATGAAAACATCCAACACGTCACTGCACTTACAATCGTACCCATTTTACATTCTGTAACTCGAAGTTGTCAATACAAGAACCTAAAGTGGGTTGTTTCAACGGAAACAACTCTAAAGGAAAACTAGGTTGCGAGCTGTAATGAATGCTCTGCCCTGGACAGCATGATGACTGCGCTAGTGTGTACATAAGGCAAGGAAAGTCGAAGTTTTATTCATTCCCTTTTTCAAATATTTCACTTGTAGACTTACAGGCAAAACTACACGCATTCCAGAGAAGGAATTTTGATTTCATTTAATTTAGTGATCGAACTTCTCTTTGTAGATAATTTAAAAATATATAATAGATAATAGCTATTTTCTCGCGACTTGGCCCGCGTTAAATACAGCAACCGCGTATAATCTAACTTTCCGTAAGTGAAAGAATTTCTATGGTTCATAGCATAAATAATGCAGCTTATTGTTTATTACAAGATAAAAGAATCCTTATAAATTCCAAAAGGGTATTAAGAGAGTTTTGACGATACGGTAAAAATAATCATTTAAGGGTAAATTATTAATGTTCAGTTTCAGAATTGTTTCTCTTTTTAATAATGTAATGTTGTAAAATAATATTCCAAGTATATAAAATTAAGACAGAGATTATAATAGGGCGCTCACTCGGATACTAACTCGCATCGGTTACGAGTTTTGCTCTCCTCATGTATAATTAGAATACTTTATTAGAATATAAAGTATTCTAATTTGCAAAATATGATTTTAACAATATTTATAAAAAAAGTATTTGGGAAAAGTCATTTAGTTATTATTTTATTTGAATTAAATGTAAAATGAAAACACAAACATTACTATATCATTAAAATAAAACTTTTATACCAATCCCTAATAGAATATGAATTCTAGATATACATTAGAGTCAGAGATCAAACCTATTATCAATGTGACTTTTTTCGCGTTCTCATTGGCTCAAACCAAGGAGAATTCTATCACAAATCTAACTCAAATAAGTACCTATTCCGAAACAAATAGAAATTTGCACTAATAAAAATAAACATAATTTTCGAGTTGATAAACAAATTTTCTTGACTTATTTAACAAATAATAGACTCATAACACAAAACGTATAAACAAGTTATTTATTAACTCCCCTTAAAAGCCTTAACCTAAAAAGTGCGGAATCCCAAGGAAATATTACCAGGCCTCGTAGTACTGACCCACAAACCGACGCGCATATTAATTTCTAATAGCTCCATGAATTTTCCTGAAATAGCTCTGTATAGCGTTCGAAAACTTTTAATGTAAGTTAATGCGGTACTTTTGATGAATGTAATTGGGTATATGGAGGAAATTGAATAAGATTCTATTTGATATGAAAGTCATTACAACTTTCTATAGAATGTGGAAGATTTGCAATAAATTCTCATGAATCTAAACACGATATAGAACGAATACAAAGAAATTACTTGGGTAATTAATGTGAAACATTATTTATTAACATTATTGATTTACTAATATTTGTCAATGAAGATTATTAGCGTGTACTGTAGCTTTTTAAAATAAACTCAATATTCAAACATTTATTGTCATTAATATTGTCATTATAAGTTGCTTATGAAAATATATAGCCCCGTCGGGTACGACAATTTAATATATATTTAAGAATATTAAATTAATAAAGAAATTAGAGAAGAATATATAGAACTAGTTTTTTCTGCGACTTCATTTATAGGTGATGTTAGTTAAGCCCGAGATTATAAGTGAAAGAATATTAAAGATCGGTCCAAAATACAGTTTTAGGCACGTGATCGAATTTTTATATCGGAATCCTCTTGAAGGCTATGAATTCTTATTTAATCTCTTTGGTCTATTGATTTAGTTACCTACAATTCTGCGATAGTGTTAATTATTTTTTTTTTATCACTAAATACTAAATTACATATTTTAACAATCACCTGTATCCTTGTTACGGTGGCCCAGTTTGATAACAATAAATTAAGGAAAATTTTCTTTGTTTCAGCGTCGTCTTTGTTAGTTCATTAATCGTCTTTACCTTATATATCTTCGTTAATGGTGCGAAATCTTCTCAAATTGCAGGTACTATGTTACAATTAAGCTTTCTTGTACCTTTCTGCTGACAATTCCTTTTATTCGTCCGCTTTTACTTTGGTCGCAACAAATAAGGAAAAACACTACATGTCTTATTCTTCTTCAAAAAGAAGGATGTTCTCAATTCATTTGTATATTAAAAAAAAGGTTCTCAGTATGACCTGTATGTATGTATGTAGGGTCCGCGATTATCTCGCGTTAGGCTAAACCGATTTTGACGCAGTTTTCAGAAAAGTATTTAAGAAAAATATCAATTTCACTAAAATGCATGAAATAAAAACTTAAAAAAAGAACCGACTTCAAAGTTAAGAAACAAGTGAAAAATAATAGTTATCACAAAGGCGACTTATTCAATAAAATGTGATTGAAGTTGGGCGCCTACCATTTATTTAATAACCTACAGAAAACCTCCGTAAGTCGCTTTTGGGATAAGTATTATTTTTCTCTTGTTTTAAGTTTCAAAACGGGTCTATTTAAAAAAAAAAATAATTATATATGTCTTGTTATATCTCCGTAATTTATGTAAAAAAAAAAGGAAAAAACGTAACCCATCAGAATCAAAACTGATAGGGTACTTTCTGTTTACCTAGAACTTAGAAAGGCAAATAAAGAAAATCTGAAAACTGTACATTCGTAATTAAATTTTAGAAATACATACATATAAACTTAATGTGGGAAAAATTTAACATTAAAGCTACTAATTCAAGTGATGTATCAAATAGTTTGATGTGCATATTTCATTTATTTCTTAGAGATGTATAAATAGGTATAATGACTAATTTTTTTTGTTAGTCCGTCAGATGATTATTGAAGCATATTATACACGTATTTTTAATTCTTTGCATAACCATAAATTACGGTGATACAATGAGTTGAAATTTCGCATGACATCACGTTTTTGTGCATTTTCTACAAAACTGTGACGTAGCAAGCCCCCACTACTCAACTTTAATGCCTATTATTTAAGACATTTCTTGTTAAATTGACTCAAAAAATACATATCTAATTTTTTTTTTATTTGACTGACTCACTAAATAGAATTTCTTTTTTTATGATATAAACTATATATATACAAGTTGTTTTCCCGCTACATCGCCCTCGAATAAGCCTATGCCACCCGCTTATGAAGTACCTTCCAGTATGTGAAAGGATTTTTAAAGTCAGTCCCGAAGTTTTACAATCAAACAAACAGACAATTGAATATTTCCTCTTTATAATATTAATACAGATACATATAAAAACAGTGTAGAACCCTTAAATCGACAATATCACCTTCAAGAAATACACTTCCAAACAGCCTTGACGCTTACCTAAGGGTACTTACTTATACCTTAGTATTTTATTTTTCTTGCCTTGAATATTATCTTGAAACATTCCAGGGATACTTATGTATGCTTAGCTATAACAATGAAAGTATTTTCCTCTAATATTTACTAACCTATTACCGTAACGGGGTTCCTCGTAGTATTACTTTTATTGACGTCATGCCTTCGGGTCATTTTTTGCTGCTACTTGCGTATTCTGAGCTAACACAAGAGCCTTGGAGAGATAAAGGCTCGAGCGAGTGCTCGTGACTTCCCCTGAACATCACATTAAGATGCTTATAAGTACTTCAGATCGAAAAGTGAATATAATTAGAAAACTTAAAGTAGACTATACCTAGGAAATATATTTTAATTTGAAATATTACATATTCGACAACATCACATATATAACTTATATTTTAAATTAAAAAAGGCATTTATAGTATATATAATCTTAATGTCATCTTATTGTGATGCACTGTTACTGTACGTATGAATATATTTTGTATTCTTTGTTTTATAGTGTTTTAAATGAAATTAGAACTTCCTACATTTGTCTTTGTGTTCGTTGATATATATTTGTGTAGGTATGTCGTTCTATTTGTTTTTTGTCAATTAAATATTTTTATGACTTCAGCAGAATATCAGTGCAATGGGTGTACCCATTGCTTACGCTGAGCTAAGGACAGTTTTGACAGCACACAATATTACACTTTAAATACTTGTATGTACTAATTGTTAATTATCTTGTTTGTTTTATACTGGGTTGTGTTGTGTGTTGGCAAAATAAATACTTTATTATTATTATTATATAGTAATAACCAATAGCTATCAATGAATCTTAAACAAGCAGAGTAGGTACTAAAATACGTTATTCGCAAAATCGATCGAACATAATCATTATCGTTAGTCCTTTTAAGTCCCCACTCCAGGGGCTTAGGCCTTTTTTATGGATGGTTGAGGAGAATGGGCCATGGCCCTCCACGCTGGCCCAATGCGGATTGGAGGGTATTAACGTCTGCAAATGCAGTCCCGGCTGCATTTGCAGTCGCAATGGATGACGTGCCTTCCAAAGCATGGAGTAGCTCAGGATAATATCTTTAATAATAATAATAATAATAAATTTTTATTTCGGACATCCAAGATCCATATTATTGTTAGTATGAACTTAACTTATGTTAGCTGTAGACACTCACAAATAATTAATAAAGGATAGAGTATTGATGGAATAGTTTCCTATTTCATCAATACTCGGGCACAGTGTATGAAAAAGGGACTATCCCATTTTCCAGATATTGCATGTAGGATGATGTTGGTGCTATCGCGTGTTCTGTATAGTAAGGACGCTATTTTCTTACGTATACACGCTTGAAACCCGTCTGTGCGTGCCTCCGCGAACATGCCTGACGCACTGCAGAACCGCGGGAGCCCCAACAACATCCTAAACGCGTTATTATATTGGACACGAAGAGCGTTGACCGCTTTTTGAGTATACATTGTCCATAGGCTACCCGTGTAAAAGTTTTGACAAAATGATTTAAATAGCGTAATTTTTACCTCTCGTGAACAACGGGAAAACCTACGGATTAACATGTTAGCTCTCACCGTCAACGCCCTTCGCTCCCTTTCTATGTCCATATCATCATTTAAATCATCACATATAATATGACCTAAATATTTAACATGATTGACCCGCTTCAAAGGATTTCCATTCAGTTTGATTGGTGGTAACTGTTCCACGTTTTTATATTTTTTATTACCCTTTGGTGTAAATAACATAAATTCACTTTTACTTATATTATACTGTAACCCATGACTCTCAGCAAACTGTTCACACAGTTGAAGCAGTTTCCTAATAGCACTGATTGATGGCGCCAGCAGCACCATATCGTCCGCGTAACTAATATTGTTTACACACGTACCGTCTATATAACATCCGATTGGTTGTCTACTGAGGTCATCCATCAGCTGATTAACATAAAAATTAAACAGGTGTGGAGAGGACACCCCCCCTTGTCTAACCCCGCATTTCAAACCATAAGCATCAGAAAGTGAGCCAGACCATTTTACTCTATTAACTTGGTTACTATACCAATATTCAAAAATAGAACATATTTCCTTTGGCACGTTAGTTTCACGTAACTTTGGCCACAACACATCATAGCATACTGTGTCGAAAGCCCGCGAGAGATCTAGAAAACATGCAAAAACCGGTGTCTGTCTGTCTACATAATACTTAGTAACATATTTAAAGCTTAATATAGCACTTTCTGTGGACAGTTTAGGCTTAAACCCGAATTGCGCATCATGAAATTTCAAATGCTTCACCAACTGTTTATCTAGTAGACGATCTAATATTTTTGCCATTATAGTAGCGAGTGAAATTGGTCTATAGTTATTTTTATCAGATATATCCCCCGTTCTATTTTTGACTATCGGCACAACAACCGTTTTCATTAAATCATGTGGTAGATAGGAATGAGAAATACACAACGAATAAAACAAAGCCAACACTCTAGACAAATGTGGACCCGCATTCCGCAAGTGCTCGATACTGAGACCGTCGTGACCCGGGGACTTCCCTTTGCTCATACCATCGATTATGTCTCTAACATCTTTGACAGAAATATTGATGCAGTTTTTGTCAACATTTTGCTCAGGTTCGAACACCGACGAAGAGCATTTGATAACAGGATCCACATAAAAATGATCTTTAAAAAGATTTGCTATTTCTTGTGGTTCCGATACTCCACCTATACAACTAGAGAGGCCAGATGTCAGGTTTAATCTTTTGATACTTTTCCAAAATTGAGAGAAATTTTTGGAAGACCGTTGACTAGCAATTATATCCATTTTAATTTGATCCTGATTATTTTGACACCATTTAACCTTAGCTTTAAAAATCTTTTTAGTTTCACACATGTTATCATAAATTTTCCCACATTTCGGCCTACCCCTAATAACCCATTCCAAGAACTTAAATCTAGCCTCTCTATGAGCATCACTGACATGTTTATTCCACCCAATTAGCCCGCGTTTCCTCTTTCCACTCGCCACACATGTCTGCATGGCACTCTCTCTTAATATATTAATAATTTTTGTATACATATTATCTAATTCCAGCTTATGCCCGAAATTACTACATTGTTTATTCGCACACTGCGTAAATAATTGAGGAAAGTCCAACATTTTCAATCTATCATTACAAAGTACTGAATATTCATATATTTGTGGGAGTTGACGTTCTCCCCATATAACAGTCCTATCAATATTATTATTAATGGATGTAACCTTTTTACGAATAAGTTGTAAATCACAATACACTTCTAATGGATGGTGGTCTGACCACATAACATCATAACGTACCTTAATGTCCATAATAGTCTCCTGTGCAGATTGTGTCACTACACAATGATCCAACCACCTACGGGAGCCATGTGCATCACTAACAAAAGTATATACATCAGAACACAAACCAAACTTGCATATATCTGCACATAACCATTTCTGGTCCTTGCAGAAACGAGATAATTCTGTCTCAAATAACTCGCTAGGATGAGCATTAAAGTCACCCAACACAAACACAGATTCAACTTCATTATTATCTATTATTGCATTAATTTCGCTTAAGCACTCTGTAAACTCCGGCAGGTTATCAATTGACTGCGTAGGCATATACACACTGAACACCACAAAAAACCGGTTCGCTATCTCGAACCGCACAGCTGCGATGCGATCGCTGACGCACTTTATTGTATTTACCGAGCTAAATGCATTTTTACGCCACATAATACCTATTCCTCCGTATGGTCGGCCGCGCAGCAGGCTAGTAGAAATATCAACAGATGATTTGCCCGTATAATCGAAATCGGAGTGTATTGTTCCTAGGAAAGGTATGTCTTGAGGTAATAACCACGTTTCTTGTAACGCTATAATATCCGCTGTGTTACACATACGATTTATACACATAGCAGATCTTTTTACTGATTTACAGTTAAAACTCATTAATTTGCACTTTTCCATTAATGTTTTGTATGATTACGATTGTCATCTCGCCTAGAAAAACTGACGAAGCGTCTAAAGGTAATACCATCAGGCCAAAACTTTACATCCAAAAATACTGATAGTTTACTTCTAGGTACCAGGATTTTATAAGCATCATACCCACGTTCCTGTTTAAATTTTATCTTCTCCATACATACAATGGTATCTGTTTTGCACTGAATATAATTAATTATGTCGTCAACTGAGGTACACCTATCAACATTGTTAATAAATAAAGGAATTTTTGAATCCGCCGCTCTGAATTTAATTTCTGGCTTGGGTGTGGCTTCACCCTTTGCCGTCTCGAGCCGATTTCTATATCTTTTCCTCTGAACTAGTTTCCAATCCTCACTACGATCCTTTTCTCTCCATTTTCCTTCTACACTGGCCACTTGAGAAAAAGATTTTTGTGACGTACTATTAGATATGATGGTCTTAGAATTTGGGAAGTCACTAGGGACTGCAGATGGGGCTTGTCCAGGCTCAGCAAGTTTTACTTCAGTCGAAGACACGTCTCCACCCGTTCCAATTCGTGGAGAGGGCATCCTCTCCAAGCTTTGCGACATTATTCTATCCTGTTGTTTATCGACAGGAGAAGAAGATTCATTGATGCCACTACACAATCCATCAGGAGGTTTACACTGTGTCAGAATTTTTATTTGAGACTCTGGGATGTGGAGTAAACCTATTGGACCACTGTCATAAGTCTCAGCCGTTAGATTCGATCTACTTCGACGTATTGCATTCACGTTAGTCATCTCAAAGTTGTTTACTATAGACGCGCTTTTTATATTTTCAACGTCGCTTTTCAACGCAGTAAGCTCTTCACTCAATGCATAGTTTTGTTTAATATAGACAACATCCCTTTGCAAAACTAACAATTCCTTGAGTAATCTGGTAACATCGATGTGATCAAAGTGTACTGGGGGTAGTTTATTAATATTTTGTACAACAAAAATGGGAAAATCCTTAGGTTCTAGTTCCCGGAATACACATATGATGTCTTCTAGGTCCTTCTGTGTTTTTCCATCTCTTTTCCGTTGAGATTTTTTCTTTCCTGATTTTATACAATCATACAATAGAATTTTGGCCTCCGCGATGTCTTCCGCCGAAAACGCCCCCAGACAAAGTTGCACTAGACTTATTTGATCCATAACTTCCAACTTATTTTGTATAAAAGCCAATACTTCACTAATTACGATATTACAACTATCACATTTTGTGCTAGACATTTTGAATTTTGAATTTCTACACGATTGTCGTGAACGCGTGCGTCGCTAAGGTTGCGCAAACGCAGACTTTAAGTCACCCAGCCCGTGAACAACCCTTGCAAAGGTTCTTTAACAACAACGATCGCGAGCTAACAATGATGTTAAGTCAGGCTTAGAATTATATACCAGATTTCAGCAAAATCCTTTTTTGCGTGAGGTAACTTTCGACTTTATAATACTAGCAAGATAGATACCTAATTAATATTTGAAGGATATTTTACTATAATCTTTATAACTGCAATACCGTTTTACCCATGGTGCACCTAGGGTTGCCAGATGGTCGGGATTCGTCTGGATTGTCCAGACATTTTGTATGATGTCCAGAGTCCCGAAAAAAACAAATATGTCCAGACAAAAATTGTTAGATTTGGTAAAATCGAAATACAAGTATAAAAAAATAAAATAACACATATATCATAAAAATATAATCAGTATATATATTAGCTGTTAAAATGTTATACTATTATTATGTGATCTTATAAATTGACAAAAAAGTAGATACTTGTAAAATTTTAAATTCAATTAATTAAAAAAGGGAATTTTTTTAGCTTTTTTTATCCCGACTGTGATCCCAAAATCCCGACTTTATCATAGTTTGTCCAGATATTTAGTCTCGCTATCTGGCAACCCTAGGTGCACCGGGGCGCCGTGCGTTGGGGTGCGCCGCGCCGATGATGGTCTAATCTTATAGTACCTACTCATCGATTCAGTAATTTTTTAATATAAATATGTGTAAAAAAGTGGGCTTAGGGGCGCCAGAGCAGTACCTACTTGCACCAGGGCGCCTATTGTGCTTAAGACGGTCCTGTATATAGACATATCAAATAAATTACAACCTGTTAACTTATGATACGACTATTACGTCAATCAAATTATGGGAGAAATAAATATAATAAAAGGTCAATGTCATTTTTAACGGTCCTAATTTTTATATTCAATTAATTACGTGTATAATAGGTTTCATTATTGTTTTACATAAAACTTATAGGTTATACGAATCAAAATTTCATGTTGTGGTTGACTAAAGCCCCCTGATATTGGCATTGTCGTGCTTAAAAGGGGACCCCATCAAATAGGTAGTTACGAATTGTTATAAAAAGTAAATGAAAATTTTTGAAACGAGAACATGTGATGTCCTGTTTACTACATTTTATAACTGTTTATGTAGTAATTTCACTGATGAAAATGGCATTATGTTCTTCAGGGACGTATAATAAGATGCAGCGCCTCAAGTCTATGAATTGTCACCATATAGAATAAAAAAGGATAAAAACGTTTTGATTATTAGTAAAATAAAGTTGTGGGTATGTGGGCTAAAATTATAATATGTGAAATTATAATGATATTAACGAAAGAAAATCGACATTGTTTAATCCGAATAATTAACAGCAACATTCCACTTACACACCATTCATAACTATAAAATTGTATTTTTCTCAAAAAATGAAACCAAATTATAAAGAAATGTTTTATAATTATTAGAAAAAGGTGATTAACAAATTCGTGAAACATAAATGGAACAGTTAAACAAAAATAACTTTTGAGTGACTTTTGAGGTAAGGACCTACCTATTCTTGAGTCAGATCTTCTCACTCCGTGTAAAAATTTAAGTGGGACTTCGATATACAGTTTTTGGTCATTCTTCTTCTTCTTCTTTCGTGTCAATGGCAACCAAAACTTAATGTCACCGGCCCAGAACACCGCCACTTTTATGGCGCTACCTGCAGCCGTCATGAGATCCTCCTGCGTACAGGTGTAGGGGCAAGCGGAGCAACATATCAGGTGTTTGGTCATTAATTAGATGAGAAGTTTATTTTGGTTTTTATAAAGGTAGTGAGAAAAAAATGTGCCACAAATCTGATGACAATTTATCTCAGAAATCATCCATTACATAATTTTGTAAACGAAAAGGCGTAGCTCGGTGGCGTAGTGGATAAGTGCCGCGGCCCGCGATCGTTGTCGTTAAGCAACTTTCGCAAGGGTCGGTCACGGGATGGGTGACCAAAAATTATTATCTCGAGCTACTCCGTGCTTCGGAAAGCACGTTAAGCAGTTGGTCCTGGCTGCATTTGCAGTCGTTAATACCCTCCAATCCGCATTGGACCAGCATGGAGGATCATGGCCCACCCTCCTTAACCATCCATAAGGAAGGCCTGAGCCCCTGCAGTGGGGACGTAAAAGGGATGATGATGATGATGTAAACGAAAATATGAAAGTCGCTAAAACAAATTTGTTTCAATAATATTATATTTTTCATCAAGAAATTAGTTTGCCTTATTTTCCAAGTCTTGTATTCAATATAATTTCGTAAAATTACTTGTAAAACTATAAAAGACCGTTAGTAACAGAAAAAGCAAATTGTCTCTAAAAATAAAGTAATTTCTTTCAATAAAGATCCACCTACATGGAAGTCAACTTTAATAACGTGATAATGATTATAAATGTCGACGACTGTATGTGTTACCTTGCTTAAAGTTCCAGTATTATGGTTCGACGAACTCCTGTGGACTTCATAATTTAATTATGTGTACAGTGGCGCCATAGTTTATTTTATTTTGAAATAGCTGTTTTCCCGCGACTTCGCCCGCATATGACGTTTTCGTAGCTGAAAGAACTTTTAAAATCAGTGCAGTAGTTTTGGAGTCACTTTATTGCAAACCAACAAACAATGAAATCTATTTTTTTTAATATTATTATAGATATGGAATTATATAGACACGGAACAGTATTTTTTTATTACAAACCTAATATCTAAAAATAGTGTGTCTTATTTATCATTGTCGTTAATATAAGGAAAGTTGATGAAATGGGTCTACAAAATTATATTTACCTACCACTTTCGATTAACCAGAGTGTGTTAACTAAATTTTCCATTCGTTCATGAAAGTTTATTTTTGTAGTCGCCCTGGTTCCATAGTTACAAATGTGAAACACATGTCTATTGGATGAATTAAATGTAAGGATTTAAAAATAGTTTCCAAATACTTTGTTTACTTTTGTAGCTTCTATAATTGTATTCTATAAACGTTTATATTTCAGATTGACTGTATAAAAGAAGTAGATTCTAATTTGTTCTGATTAATTAACAAATACGATATATCATCACATTCATTACTCAAATGCGAAACTAATTGCCGGTTTCTAAATTGAGAAAAGTACAAATAACTTAAGTTCTATACGTTTGATGAAGCAAAAAGTCCTGTTTAAATGACGTTTAAGATAGCTTAAGTACGGTTTGAGATGTCCTTTAATTTAAATTCTCAATTCAGAAACCGGGTGTAAGTACCTAAAACTCATATATACCTCATATCTATCTAAGACAACGAAGAAACTACAATACCCATACCTGTGACAATATGACAAAAAATCATTTTCTACATGTACTCGATAGAGAATCGAGCCTCCTTAGAGAAGTAAATACCCTGAAACCAGACGTGTGAGTCGTTTAATAAAGAGGTTAACAATGATTTTTCTATATACGTTTCGTGATTTTTGTCTGTTTTACATCGATTTTAATCATGTTTTTTATTTAAAGAATATACTAACGTGACCCAATTTAAAAATAAACAGCTGAAAAATCATTAGTTTTGTAGATTATTCCATTTTCGATATAAAAAAGGTCTCGCATAATTGTCATGAGGCTACTTTTATTTACGGTAAAAAATGTCGTTATTTCTCGTACCAATATACTCGTATAAAGGCTCAAAGTCACGTGTTTCAGTTTCTCATTATAGGTTAAATAGCAGTGCAAACAAAACAATGTTTCATTTTAATTAACAATTCGTGTCGATGATAAATTGATAACAAATAATTATCAATTAAAATGCCGTCGGTACCTAGTTTTGAACTCGTTTCAAGAATTATTTATAGATGAACAAATATTTATAGATATATGCATAAATTTAATTATGTTGTAATATTGTAATGGAAAGTGACTTCATATTTTAATGAAGTCATTTATCAATCTTGACGCTCTGTATGAAATAAAACAGGGAGAAAAAAGCAGCCCTTGCCGAGTTTTTTTGCCGGCTCTTCTCGGTACAAGGTCTCCCGCCGTAGATTTACGAACCGATGGCGTAGCTCTCGACTTTCACAAGTGCTTGTAACAGCCTAGACTGAATAAATAATTTTTATTTTGATTTGATTGATTTTTGGTTTATAACCCGACTGCGCGACGCAAAGGAGGGTATCAGTCTATGTATGTATGTATGTTTGTTTCTATGTGGCGTTCTAGAGACCAAATGCGTAGGCCAGTTTTGATGATTCTTACGTCAATCGATTCGTCTTAACCTTGCGAGTGTCACTAAAGACATGACAGTAATCAAAATTCACCACAGCGACAACCAGACGCCATATTGTCAAAATGAAAAAAAAATAAATCAATGAACTATGTCAAGTGGGGTGTCGTTAAATAGGAATTTTAAAATCATCTTTAGGTTCCTTTTATCATTTTTCATTTTAAATAAAAGTTTAGGATATCTAACGATTAAAAGTTGTTTAACAAAACAATCATTCTCGCTAATTTTCTTACTTATTGATTTAAGTTTATATTTAAAGTATAAACGATATACAAACAAAAAAAAACAGTGAAAAAGCATGAAGAACAAATATTACCACCAAACTCGATAGATGAACTCGATAGATAACTAAAAAGTATAAAATAAAAATAAATAATTTAAAGAAAAATAACGGGGCCAATTCAAATTTTACCAATAAAATCTTCCCAAGAGGCCCCAGATTATGAGTCGTTCTTGTTCTGCATTAGAATTTATTATTTGTTTTATTTGTGTATCAATTATAAAACTATTTCAATTGCGTACTTATTAAGTATTACTTAACAGAGTTCTAAACTACTGGGCTTGTTTCTTTATTTTTAGTTTTTATTTAAGTTTATTTAAGGACTTCAGGAATGGTGACATTTTGGCACCCGTATAATAGGCGAGCCTATTGGTAAACCGTCA